ATAAATATAGGTGGTATTGTTACCTCAAAAACAATAACATGTGATTCCCAAAACCATTAAGTTAACTTCCTTCTAGCTACCTTTGTTCCTTTGTTGTTCTCTAGAAATAATACCTGCTTGGTCCACTGAATATTCTTGTAATGCTGCACGTTGTGCAAGAAAGACAGTGGTGTCCTTCACTGGTAGAGCTGATGATATCTATAGGTTATGGCCTCCCCTATGTTTGAATGAGAATGAACAGTCACATGGGGAGTGCTGGTCGCTATTACTAATACGATTTCTCCCGTTGAGTAAGAAACGCTATATCTAAACAGTCTATATAGGATCCCAAGTGAGTTGGTTGACGAGAAGACATCTTAAGGGAAGAAAAATCCGCATATCAATTCACGAATCCAGTAACGGACGACCATTCAGTGTCCTAGCACAAGTACTCATACTGTGTTTTTCTATTTATTTAAATAAAAACTGGTTACATTTTTCATGGCACATCGTGTATTATCTATCTATTTCTCTACTTGAACTTTGTTTAGTTAAATTCAAACTTCTCAATTTATCCTGCTGATTGTCCTAACAAAAAGTGGACCTACGTTACATTATTTGAGGAAATCACTTTAACCTGAGAATACCACAGGTATATCCAAGTTCGAATAGTTCTGCAACAATCAACAACAGTTTGTTCGATGGTGGAGAGAAGAACGTACCATAGTCAATTTACAGCAGCTCTACTAAAACAAGGTGGGATGATCAATACATTTTGTTTTTTTATAAAGTAATAATTTTCCATATTTTAGTAAAAGTACCAAGGTAATGTCTTATAGGAGGAATATATTTCTGTTACAATGAACAATAAAAATGATTAAATCATTATCAAAGTATAAAACATTTTGACTTAATCAATCTATTACATTATATAATTTCAAACGAGAATTAGCTGTTATATACGCCACAATAATTACATTCATAAATCCAAAATCATGATCAAAACGATTATCCTACACTCATCTAAGTTCGAAAATATTTTCTTTAAGTAATGTAGCATTATGAAATTATTTCACGTTATCATTTAATATATTTAAAAGTGTCATTGTCATACTCAATTTACGATAGATATTATCGTTGACCAAATATACTAGAAAATAGTTTAGTGCTTACTTTCCAAGAATATGCAATCCTGAGTTCTAACATAAAAATTAAGTTCGGTTTCATCTATTTCCTTGTATTGCTTCAAAAATTAATCTTGTTGATATCAATCATACCAGCCTGGTACTCCTTGTTTAGTTTTAAAACATCTACTAACATTCACTTAATCCCTTTATTTTGATTTATTTTTAACTTCACTATAGTACCAAACCTCACGTCCTCTGGTAGTTCAGTGGACTTATCAGGCTAAAAATTGGGTTTCGATGCCCGCGGTTGGCACAGCACACATAGCCCATTGGGCTGCTTTGTACTTAACAGCAAAGAAAAGTCAAATATCATAAATATATATATTCTATATGAATAACTTTTATTTAATTCAGGTATAACTTATATCCCTCTTAAAACACAAACATTTCCTTTTCGTAAAGTTTACATTAAGATGATTAATTTTTATCTTCAGCACGTTTGACAAGAAAGGTTATTTATGTTTTGTCCGATATGTTAAAGCTAGATGATAAAGTATTTAATAGCGCATTAAAATACTTTTATAATAATCAATATTTTTAAAAGTTTCATGAATCATCTTTAGATGGCCAACTGTAAAATTCCAAATTTACAACAATGATGATTTATAATGTAAAATCAACTTAGAAACTTTTTCCATTTTCATAGAACCTAAGGGTAAGTGATATTTATGTTTTCTTGACTCAACGAAACTAATTATGTTTTATCTCTCTTTTCCCCGTTTTTTATGAAATTACCCTCACTTTTCACTTATTTATTTAAGTCTTATTACTTCAGACCATTTCCTCGTCTTCTGTTTTTTTTAACAAATTTATCATTGTATAGCCATTACATGTATTTTCCAAATTAGGTTTATAGTTATAATAATTATGATATGCATGCCTTAAATATCTATAACATTCATATATAATGTCGTATCCGTAGATATAATATCAATCAATAAGAATTTCCTTTTGTAAGAAAATACAAAACAGAAAGGTTAAAATACACCGTGTCTTCTTTATTCCATTGTACCAATAAAATTAAGTGTACTGGCTATATTGTTGAATTACGGTCACGTGATGTTACCACTAGTATTTCATTTTTACACTGGTATTCATGACGGTAAAATAGTACCAAACGGCGTTTTAGTTTACTTAAATTACGTTTTTAAAATATTATGATTCAATATAAAATCTGTAACTGGTTCCTGGCTAAAAATCGTTAGTTAGTTGGCTGCAAGAAGTAAATTCCAGTTTTTTGTTGTTGTTTTCTGACGAACTGATGACAGTCTGGCAAACAAAGATACTTGAAACCCAAAACATTCTTGTTTTAGCTCTGACAAAACACTGTAATCTATTTTGAATGTATGGTACTCGCTGAGTGGATATATTCTATCGATGAGTAACAATCAAAACTTCACTAAGAATTCAATCTTTTTTTTTGTAAAGCATAGACTTAAATATTGTTTTCCTTATACCCGGGTACTCATAATTACGAAACAATTCAAATTTCAACTTAAAATACAAAATTAACTAGTTTCTCATATTAAGTTGTGGTTTAATTTTAGTTGTCAGAAAAATAACCTACCAAGAATTTTTATCACTCGATATAATAGCAATAAAATGATTTTAAGATTTAAGATGTTTGGTTTTTAGAAGAAAAGCTTAGTATAGCTGAGGTCACGTTAAAAATAATGGCTGTAGTAAAATACTGTTGCGTCAGCGAGGTCACGTGACTAGTGTCACGCCACGTTTCTAGAACTATCCTGTTCCTTCGGGAGTGCTCTAGCATATGCTAGATTGGGGGTGGCCTGGTATATATAAGATGGTCACGGCGTGCCATACAGTTGTCAGAGAGTATTGTTGAAGTTCGTTATAGCGTTTGTTTTAGCGCG